CCCCCCCCCCCCCCTACGGATGAGCTTTTCTGAAGGGTGACTCAAAAAGTCGTTTCTGAGGGGTTAAGCCTGTCGGCATCCTTTGATCTCTGCAATTTTTCTGAGGGGTAAGGGGAAAATTTACAAATTTCTGAGGGGGGTTTTGTGTCGGCACTTTGATATTTTTTTCTTAGGGGTTAAAATTTTACTGACCTCATCCGTAGGGGGGGGGGAGGGGTGTGGATTTTAAATGGAATGGCCCTAATAGGCAGGGCTAATCAGCACTGTCCCTTTTACAAAATAAACCCTAACCCCTATAAACCCTAGTGTGCAATATGCATTTGAGGAATCTGTTACTAATGTGTCCTCAGTCACTGAAACCCATCTTTTAGCTCAAGTTTTCATCACTGTTGATAATTTGTAGTCCAAGACAGACATTCTGGTTGGTGTAAAAGCTGAAATTGGAGGGCCTGCTTTTGGTCACCCTGACTGTGGAAGAGTTGAATTCTTTGTTAACTGGTAATGAAAATCTTTTCTAAAAAGTGTTTTATTTTTGTATAGCCCAGAAAAATTTTACTTGGAATTGACTAACTCAGGCAGTTGCTGCAGGTGATGTCAATAATCTCTTGTAGTCTGTAATATCTGTTAGTAAAACCCTAATACCAACCCTAACCCACAACAAATGGCATTTTGAATTACCATTTGTGAGTTAGTCAAATCCATTTTACTCATTAAGAGAAGAGTTTATAGTTGTTTAACCCATTGAGTTGCAGCACTCTCCCTGACGAGTAAAAATCATCTGGTGTTAGACAGAGTAAAATAGTAAGGTAGGGTGCATCTGGGTGCATTGCCACTTATGAGAGGTTGCTTCTCTTATTGCAATTGTGTTTTGTTGTTTGATCTATTTGTTTCCTTTTAGTTCCGCGCATGCTTCGCCAAAATTTGAAGGTCGAGGTGGTGAGGAACTGTCTTCAGAACTGAGCAGAATTTTAGACAGAGCTTGCAGTAATAAATCAGCTGTGGACCTCAAGTCATTATCAATTACATCAGGACAACAGTGTTGGGTTTTATATGTCGACGCTTTGGTAAGAGACAGTGACTGTTTATGGTAGACCTGCGGCAGCTAGGGGGTGGGGTTATTAGGGATGTAGGGGATTGTCAAACCCCTCCTAGCCACTAAACCCTTTTTAAAGTATACTTTCTCTAACAATCTTCAAAGAGTCTAAAAATTCCCCCTACCACTAGCTTGGCCCCTGGTTCCTGCTAAAGATTGTTTTCTCCACTTCACCACAGATAGTACGGATTCTCTCACCTTTCATCAGTGTCGTAGCAAGCTCGATAATTGGGGGGAGGGGAATATTCATATATTCGTGTTCACAGACCATAAAAAGAATCAATATCAAAAGAAATTAATAACACAGAACACGAATATATGAATATGAGCCCCCCCCTCAATTATCAAGCTTGCTACGGCACTGTTAATAAAAATATCTGTAAAGGTGAGGGACTACAGATATGAACCCCAATAGGCATAAAAAATTTCATATTGTAAATACTACACTTTATTCTGGCCAACACCAATCAACACATGATATTTTCGGAATCTTGAAAACGTTGGTATCCAATGGGTAACACTATATATCCCCGGCCATCATATGCCTGGCTGCTGGAATACTGGGTGAAGTTATTTTTCATTTATCAGGTGTTAGAATGTGGTGGGAACTTGTATGATGCTTTATCCATGGCCGTTAAAGCTGCACTCCATAACACAAGGTACGGAAAGTAAATGTAAAGGTTTTTGCTCTGCACAGGTAAATTTCAGAAAAGTATGTATTTAAAATTCATTTTTCCTATGGTTTATAAAATTAGATAATCTTAACATTTTTTAATCAATATAATTAAATATCTAACAAGTATGTTGCCAGTTTAAGGATCTAGCCATGGGAACCTACATTTGAATTAACGCATGCTCTACTATTTTTCATCTCTCAGAATCCCTAATGTGACAGTCAGTATGGACGAAGGAGAAGTAGAACTTGAGATTTCAGATGATCCATTTGACTGCAGTCGACTTGATATCAAGAATATTCCATTAATTGTCACTTTAAATAAGGTAGGAAAATTAGAATCACTATAGAATTATGAAAACAGAAGGAATCCACTTTGCAGTTTTTGAGATGTAAAATAGTAAGCCATAAAAGAACAAAATAGATATACTATTAGAATGGGTAAATAGCAAGATTTTTTGGCATCTCACTCAATTGAATAATAGTTGAAGGATCTTGTAGATGGAAATTATTGAGTGGAAATTTATATACATTTATTAGAACTAACCAGGAACAGCTGCTTAAAATGCAACTATACTACTATAGCTAGGTCCCAGTGGCAGACATTCCAACTACTCGAGGTAAAATTTAGGGAGATTGTTCAGTGAATTGAAATCTTGTTCTTCTGTGAAAAAATTTTAAAAATTAAGTCATCTGAAATGGCATTTCCTGTATTTTGGGAAGATGTTGTTATAACAATATAAGTGATCCTATATAAATTGCCATTAAGTAATTTCATAAAAATGTCAAAACAGACTATTATGTTGCTAAAAACAACATGTTTATGATTTTTTTATGATATTTCCCAAAGATTCTGAAAAATCAGGAGAATTTGATAAAAATCGGGAGACCAGGAGATTGTATGAATTTTCGGGAGACTCCTGGTAAAATTGGGAGAGTTGGAATGTCTGCAGTGGCAGGAATTGAACCTGTGACCCTGCGATTCCAGTGCAGCACTTTGAGCTACAGAGGCCAGTTGTCGAGCTCTAACCACAAGTTCATGTATATATAGACTAGGGTACTGCCATGTATAGGTTATGGGTTAATTGACCATAAAAGTCCTTATGTTATGTCACTGTCAGACATTGAATATTTGACCCACATGTATCCCACATTGCATTGCGTATACCTGATGTTTCAATGGATTGAAAATTGTGTGACGTAAGCATTTCTAAGGGTTATTGATAATTTAGATTGAGCATGATTTTGTGGTGGATGCCAGTATGGAGGAAGAGTTCTGTTGTGATGGCCAATTATTGGTTGCTGTGAATGGTGATGGTAATATCTGTGGTATACAAAGACTGGGATCTAGTGCTGTTGAACCTGAAATGATTACAGAAATGTTGGAGGTATATTTGGCTGTGCTTGAATTTGAGACCAATTTCCCTGCCACTGTTTAGCCTAGACTGTGGATAAGCCAAAATAAATCGTGTTAAATAAATTATTTTCAGGCAGCCGTCGATATTGGTAAGTCGTTAAATCAACGACTTGTGCAAGCTCTAGAAAGTGAAGAAAATAACTCAACGACTGATAAAGTTGGATTTGTTCCAATAGCAGAATATACCAGTGAGATATGTGAATGATTGAGCCGGTGAATGAATGGGCAAGTGTGATTCGTGATTCTGAACAAATCTGCACTATCAAGAGAGATACCATCTGCTTGCAGAATACTGCTGCTGGCAAAACAGTAATGGTTGCAAAGGTGGACAGGTATTTGTCGAAGTGCTAATAGCAACATTGTGTTCAAGTGCATTAAGCACTGATGGTGACTGTAGTAATCAAACATTTTTATGCATGGTCATACGGTTGTACAGGGCAGTCCTTGGTCCTCTAGTATAAGTCTTTAAGAAACTATGTATTGTACAGAAGAAAGCAAAGCTTTCGAAAGATTGATACTTTTTATGACAAGCCGAATAACCTGATTCAGGATTTGAGTATGTGGAATTGTAACCAGTGTCACAGACCTTATTTAACTGTCTGTGACGCAGAATTGTGCTATGTCAACAATCACAACAACGTAATTATATTAAGGAGAGGGGGGGGGGACCTTGGAATGGTCTAAAAGCCCAGTTAGTGTCTTGTCCTTTTGAGTTACTCATGCACTATAAATTAGAAGTACTTATGGAATAATAGTAATACGTCAAACGTGTTGTAAATCAGTAATGTGTTGTAATTTCATGATTGATATGATTGATATGATTGATATTCACGAGTACTCAATAAATTTAACAAAATAAAACTAAACAACATCAAAAACAGCGCAGATAGATACATGCATGTACTAGCGCACCTATATTTTTATAGTGTCCTTATTTTTCTGCTGGGGAAAACTCGAAAGTAAAATTTCAAACAATCATAAAGTTTTCTTGGAATTGTAAATTCCTTGTAACTAATTTCTTAGAAAATGATTATGGAAATTAATCAAAAAGGAGAATTTAAGCAAAATCATAAAAATTCGATTGAAATTGGGTAGAAATTAGGTGAGAAATTAAACGTCATTAATTAACATACTAATTTCGGGGAATAGAAAGAAGTATAGCTTAATGCCTAATTTCAATCCAGCTGGCGAAAATGAAACCTAAAATAAGAGTTTAAATTTCCGGAAGTAGCGACAGCAGTGCATTATTGAAAATTTTTAAATACCTAAAGTTGTGAACCTTTTAAACGGGTCATTGATGTTTTATAGCGTAGAAGACACATGTCATTGTGTAGTTGCAGTGGGAGACATCGCATGCTTTTGTTTCATATTGCATGACATTTAAAATTAAAATGGCAGTCGCTTCGTCAAGGGTTGATCGAGTTGACAAAGTTATGTATTTATATGAATGCTCCATTTGTTTTGAATATTTTAATGATCCAAAGCAGTTGCCTTGTCGTCATTCGTTTTGCTGCGTTTGCCTGGAAACGTTTGTGGATAAACAACGTTCGATCGCAGCCAGAGAGTCGAGAGAGGTCACCGAATTCGATTGCCCATATTGTCTTTCCAAGTTTACGTTGAGTCCCGAAGATCAAGTAGCAGGACTACCAAGCAATGATTTTCTTCGCAAATTACTACAAGTTGTCCAACCGAAACAAGGGGAAAGTGCTCCTAACTGTTCTCTCTGCGACGAGCTGGCAATTATTGTATGCGAAGAATGTGAAAAGGTCTTGTGTAAAGATTGCCACATTGAACACAAAAGTTTGTCGGAATTCCAAGAGCACGAAGTGCGATCATTGAGTCACATGCTTGATCCTGACCAAGTGGCAAAAATTGGAACGCATAAAATGCGTTGTGTGCTTCATAGAAATGTTTCCCCAAATTTTTACTGCGAAACGTGCGAGGAGCTGATTTGTTTACGCTGTATAAGCAGCCGAGGCAAGATATATATCCACACGGAACCTGATCACGTTTGTGTCGGCGTTCACGAAGTGGATTCAAAGCTACGCGCGGCACTAAAATTAAACTGTGAGGCAACCGACGCTAATTTAACCGAAGGAAAACATGCGTTACAAGTCATCGACAACAGTACAAACTATCATAAAGAGACTGCGGACCGGCTTATATTTCAAATTCGTACACAACAAGAAAAAGTCCTGAACGATTTTACCGAAATATTAAACGAGAAAGCGCAAGACATGATAAATATTGTCAACCAGGAATATAATCCTGTTGTAGGTGGGTTGCGCTCCTGTCGTAGGTGGGTTACGCTCCTGCTGTAGGTGGATTGCGCTCCTGTTGTAGGTGGGTTGCGCTAACAACTCTCAATCATCATGCAGATGGCGATCAACCTGTATGTACTCGAGATCTGTAGTTATGAGTGAGAAAATGTTTTAAAATTATTTTCCTTGTTTGTAGTTGGTTTACTTTAGTTACATTTCAGAACCATCTTCAAAATATGAAAAACCGTAGTCTGCGGCGCTCATTGGGTTAGGGCACAGAATAAAGACATACAGAAGTGTATCTTCTTATTAAAAGTGCGTAAGGGATTTTTTCAGTCCGTCATGTTCTTAGCAAGTGCCCTAAAGAGAGGCAGTCACCCCCCTGAAAACATATTGAAAATGTAATATTCCAGGGGGGTGAATGCCTCTCTTTAGGGCACTTGCTAAGAACATGGCCGCCAGCTATTTCGGTAAAAAAGGCCTTACGGTTTTGTAATGGAAGTTACATTTCTGTATGTCTTTATTCTGTGGTTAGGGTTTCATAGACAATAGACACAGGGTTTCGTAACTCCAGAAGTAGCCTGCTTGCCGCCCGAAATTTCAAACGTATTATATGTGCTTTTTTTTTCTGTGTTGGTGGGCATTTTGGGCATTTTGTTGGTGGGCATTTTGGGCATTATGGGCATTTTTTTTCAGAATAGACCCATTGCACATGACGTCACAGCGCCGGTGGCGATGCATCTGGAGGACAAATTAGCAATCTATGCATAAAAAACTTTTTTAAACAAAGCAAATTTTGCAAAACTTTATAATAATTTTGTATTAAAATGGTTAGTTTTTGCGCTGTATGTGGTCGTTGTACCCGAACAGATATTGTTAACATCTGGAGGACACTCTAAGGATTTGTGACGTCAGTGCAATGGGTTTATATGCGTTTATTGTTCAAAAGAATGAACGCGATTCCGAAGATTGATATTGCGACCATTCCAAACACCTTTTTATAGGTAACCTTTGTTTCCAACGCGAAAGGATGTCAGGATACGTGAAAAAGGTAGAAAGGTCGCTGGGAGAGACGAAATCTCTCTTGGAGACTGGAAATATTGCAGAGATATTGTCCGCTCAGGAAGAGATCGTGGAGAATAACGTGATTTTGGAAAAAGAGCGAGAAAATAATATACCACGGGAACCATGTCTTGTTGAAGACTTTAATGAAAGCATGATTGTGGGCGAAATTGATGCTTGTGATATTCTTAGAGAGTTGTTAGCGATAGAAGGTAAGGTAACGGTTGGTGAACCGCATTAAAATACGTGTGAAAACGAATCAATTGATGATTCCAGCTATATAGACTAAATTTTGATCTAGGCAAGAAGAACAAAATCCACAGCCCGAAAGAGCATGTTAAAATTAGTAAAATTGCAAACTGTTTGGTTGCGAAATGTTGTAAAATGAGGCAAAATATAGCCCTACGAAATTTGCGAATTTTGTATTAATTTGTATTACGCACGGGAAAATGCACCACTTTCGGCCCAAATTTGGTGCATTTTCCCGCGCGAAATGCTCAATAGGCAAAATTTGTTCGCGCGAGTCGAAGACGAAGTGAAAAACAAATTTTGACAAACTGAACGTTCCCTGACGAATTTTCAGATGATGTTTTTTGTTTCTGCAATTTTGTTTAGAATTGCACAAGAACTCTTCGATAATGAGAGACGAACGACAGCTAGGCAAAAAGCTTCGAGCTTTAATCGATATGCCCTTCGTATGGACACTTTGTTACAGAGCGTCTGACGATGGCTGGAGAGCCCAGGACTTTCACAACTTGTGTGACAAAAAAGCTCCAACAGTAATTTTGGTGAAAGTCGGAGAAAATATCTTTGGTGGTTACGCAGATCAAAACTGGCAAGGTAGGTGTTTTAGAATGTTAGATCTTTCATGTTACCAATGAATTTTAACAACAAAAAGAAACGAAGAAAAACTAATTCGCATTGGCATTGTCCTCGACAGGGGGAGGGTGCTGTATTCGCACCGCTTGTTCCCAGTTGTTGTGACAAGTCTGGAACAAGTTGTTATCACCTTGTTACAAGGTTGATGACAGTAACAGACTTGTTACAAGTTGTTCCAACAAGACTAATACAGGCTTTTCGTAACAAATTGCTACAAGCTTGTTGTCGTCAATTTGTTAACAACATGTTACATGCAGACGATATCAGACTTGTTGGAACAACTTGTTGCGAGTCTTTTGGCCTCATCAACCTTGTTACAAGATGATAGTTCCACACTTGTCAACAACTTGGGAACAAGCAGTGCGAACTCATCTTGTTGACAAGATGTGAGATTTTTGCGTGTGTAATTTGAATAGCCCATTATATATTTTTTAGAATGACCCAAACATTCTAACCAAAAATTATATTTCGGTTTTTCTCATTCGTTTTATTTCAGGTCAACATGTGTCCAAGAGGTCTGAAGGCTGTTTTTTATTTTCTCTACGAAACGAACACAATTTACTGCCTTTCAAATGTCCATTGATAGAGGGAAGATCTGGCAGTGCAATCTGTTGTTACCCTGAACGCGGTGCAGTATTTGGCACCTGGGGCCCAGATTTGTTAATCTCTGACAATGCTAATGAGAACGTAGACTCGTGCAGCAACCTTGGAAAAGTTTATCAACCCCCTTTTGGATATGAATTTGGTACACCAGAAACGCAGTCACTTCTGGCTGGAAATTATAAATTCACACCATGTGAAATTGAAGTGTTTTGCCTAGACTGAGCATAAGTTGATTTTACTAAACACTATAGCAGATACTGGTCATGCAGTGAGTAGATTTCGAAATACTGATACCATATCAATAATTTTCATTTAATTTAATATGAAAAAAAACACTACACCCTTGGAAATTTACCAATCTCGTTCCCCGAGCCTGCGATCCTTGGGAAGGAAACGAAGGCTCTGGGATAATCCGAATCAGACATACAGAAAACTGTATGTCGACCGAACTGCGCATGCGTTAGCAAAAGCAAAACAAATTGTTTGAAATATTTTATTGTTTCGTCTATAAAATGATGATTTTTTCGGGGTTTTGGTGGAAATGTTGATGTTCTTCATAGTGGGACACAAAAGGTGTGTTAGCGACTGAATAAGGAAAATATTGCGTGTCAAACAGGGTCAGTATAGAGCCGGCAGGAGCCGCGAAGAGTGCTGTTGTCGAAGAAAAATGTCACAATTAATTGTAATCTTGTCCATTCACTTCTGTGTCAGTTGAAAAAGCTTTAAATGTAGAGACATTTGTGGTTCCTCCAGCATAATTTAGCCGTTTAACGCTATTATGTTTCTAATGGTTGAAAGAGCGCGTGGAAAGGGTAATTTAAGAACAAAAACAATTACAATGTACTGTGTGTTTATTGCTACTGTATAGTATTAAATACCTGAAAAGATTCTCAATTCTAATATTAAGTCGGTTATAAAGTAAACCTTGATAATATTAAAGTTTTCAGAAGATTTGTATATCAGAGGAATATTAAAAGAATTTAGACTTATAAACTTTAGACTTTGATTAAAAATATGAATATAGTGAATTACTGAATTCCATGTTTATATTGTGTTATCATCTCTAGAAATTAACAGTTTATAAACAGTTTATATAGCTTTCCTTGTATGTTTTAATATTTGCCAGCAGTTTAGTAGGTTAGGGATGCAACAGCACTTTTCAAATTATTGAATTATAACCAAATTTTGTGTCTGGATAGGAATTACTATTAAAGATTTACAGTTTGTAATGATAGAGTGGGAGCAAGTTAAGCTGAAATGTGCCTCAGTTTAATGCCGGAATTATTTCTCGTCAAGGGGAAAGTATTGGACTTGGTATTTGAATGGGTTAACCAGTCCCATCTGCATGTCTACCTATCTTTGGTTAATTATCTCATTAGATCATTAAGCCACAATGCTCTTTAGTGCACCCTATTTTGTTATTTCACTGTACTTCTGGACAATATTTCTCATCAATGGCCGGAAATGTACTTGACTTCATGTTGATTACTGCCATTAATTAATTAACTTCTGTACTAAATAGGCCATTCAAGGTTGGAGATGTAATAGCAATAGAGGTTCGGGTTGCTATCATTGTAGCATTCAGGGGCGTCGCTAGCCCAAATTGTCAGGCATTTGGTAATTTATTGTATCGCAATCGGGAAATTGTTTGAAATATATGAGTTTTTGTTGCCCCTCCCCTTCTCAGAGTAGGTATGTGTTGTTTTATAGTGTAAATAACAAGTTTTGATATTGCAATCAAACTGACAGGGTAGTTGCCATGACCATGGTAATAAAAATATTTCTATGGCTCGGCATTTATATTGGGCAATTTTTTATCATTCATCACAAAATTATACCTGCACCCTAGGTGGTTCCCTGCAGGGGGTCATAACCAGGGGGAAGCTGATGAAAATGAATTCTGGTATTGGTGGCTGATCACTATCATTTAATATGAATAGAACATTTCTTAAAAAAAGTATATGAATTTATTAAAAATATTTATATGGTCTCCCAATCTGGAATTCATACTTTGTAACATCTGGATCAAAAGGTTTATGACGTTTTCTTGGACAGAATCCAATTAATACAACCTCGTACAGAGGGCAGGGCTTCTTTGAATTACTGTGTGGACAAGATTAACAAAGGGATTGCCAATTTGGCATATTGTGCTACTCAATAAATTAAAATCATTAAATACTTTATGCTACAATTAGCTGTCAGTAATATTATACTGTATATTATTGTGTTTCTTATGACTTCATAAATTTGATGGGTGGTCAACTCTAAATCGAGACACAGTTATCAGTGAGAGTGAATTAATTTTTCACTGTATGTGTTGGCCTTGTGTTTGGTAGCAAATACATGTAATTTCATATCATTTACTCACTCCAGTACAACATAAGCATCAATACATTTATTTTTTAGGTTGACCCCCCATCAGAACAAATGACAGAACGTGCAAAATGCCATAGTGAAACCCAAGAATTCATTATATGTATAATGCAGTATGCACCTATCAATGTTAAGCCCCAGAGGAGGGGGGGGGGGGTCGGGCACAGGTGGGGCATTTGATTTTTAGAGCAAATTTTCAATGAAATGCCCCACCGTCGGGCAATAAATATTGGTCAAATGCCCCCACCATTTTGCAATAAATACTGTGTTAATAAAAGTCATTCGGTTCAAATTGCCCCAACTCGGGGCCAAAATGCTATTCAAAATCCCCAGGGTGGGGATGCAATTGATGATCAAATACCCCACATGTGCCCGACCCCCCCCCCCCTTTGGGGGTTAACATTGATAGGTGCATTAGGTGTATGCAGACTGGAATACAAAGTATTACATACTCCTGCACTTGAAAAGTTTACAGTATATACATTAATAAATAATAAAATATATAACAGTATTATTAAATCCCAAGATTATATTTATTGAAACTAGTTATTAGCTAGTTCTTTGCAATTAAATGACACAAAGATAAATTAATAAAAGTTATTAATCATTTCTGACACAAATAGTATTTGCAAAATATAGCACATATTTGATATTATAGTCAAATAGTACAGTGTACTGACAGTACTGTATACTATGTATAGATTAAAACTACAGAAAACCTGTACAACACAAATATGAGTAAAGTTTTCACGCTCCATTTAACTGTTGTGATATTATACTCATTAAGTATACGTTTCTTTGCATTTCCTTTGTAGTATTAGTATATAGCACAGCACTGAAAAACCAAAACAATATTCGTACACTCCTAAACGGCCGCCATGTTGTATATAAAAATATACGGTTAAAAACTAGAAGTTACTATCGCAAGGAAAGTGCTGCCTCACCGCCCAGGGATCAAGGCAGCATGTCGCAATTTGCTGCCAATAAAGCTTGGTTTCCATTAAATCGTAATTTTCGCAAAAACCGCATCGCAAGCGTCGCAACGATTTAAAAAACGCAAAATTTTCAATAAAAACTGCGATTTATTGGAAACTTGAGTCACGCCAATAACTAAGACTCTTACGACAACGTCGCAAAGATAGACTTACTGCGATTTTTGCGATAACGATGTCTGCGTTCCGCGACTATTGCGATGATTACGATTTAATAGAAACCAGGCGTTTTTAAGGGTGTGTTTATACCCTGAAATGTAGTGACACAGCCAGGTGAATATATGAATGTTGGCTAGTAGGATTATTTCATATCATGCTAACAATGGACATATATAACAATGGATATAGTTTTACAGAACGTCGTACCTTGTACAAAAAAAGCCGGTTGACATGTTATTACATGTACCATGTGGCAGTGGTTTCTAGCTGAGCTGAAGAAAAACCACTGCGAGCAAATGAACGATCGTTTGATGTAGCCGCCGTCCAAATTTACGGACGAAACAATAAATGAGAAACTGGTAAAACAAGTTTAACAAGTTTTTGTTGTCGTGCGCATGGGTAAATGCTTGGCACTGCTGGTAAAATGCGAGCCAGTTGTACACTAAAAACAACATCACGTTCTAAATATAGCAACACGCTTAAATATAATACTTTGACTGTCCTTGTCTTTGTACAAAAGTGTACAAATATTGAATAGAATGTGAGAAATTATACATCAAGATGACTTGAAAACCGCATAGAGTTCAAAAGAATAACATAATTATAACAATAAATTCTACACTGCAACAAAAATCAACCTTTTAGAGAAATGTTTTGTAGCGGTTGAGGTCGCAAAAAAATGCAATAATTGTCAAAATCCACAAAAATAAACATATTAATATTTGGAAACTTTTGAAATTGGAATTTACTCTACCGAAAACCTTAACACAATATCCAATGTTTAAATTAAAGTAACACAAATAAAGTTTGTAGACCAAGTAAAAAAATATTGATCGTATAAACACAAAAATTGAAAAAGATATAACAGAAATTCAAATGTCAAATTTGTAGCGTGAGAAACCGATTTTCAAAAATATTTTAGTATTGGCAGCAACGATATTTATAGAACCGATCGATAAATTGCGAACTGCATGTAGAATAAAAAGTCGTTTGATTAAACTATGTCAAGCTTGTTTTATACATCTAACAAACTACAGAAGAGAAAGTCAAATTTAAAGTGACGTCACGTTGGTCGCATCACGCGATCTTCGCTAGAAAATCGTTCGTTTGCTCGCAGTAGTTTCTCCTCAGCTCAGAAACCACTGCCAGCAGGGTATATTACATGTAACTGCTGGTACGTTTACGTGTAGACATCAATCCACACTGGGTTGCTAGTATAGGAATATCTTTTATACATTAAGCCTGATTATTAAGACGTGCATACACAACAGTCCGCGTTTGTTGTTAAAACTTGCTGAAAGCACATTGCTATAAACATCTAGAATGAACAATATACAAACTCATTATCGCCGCACAAACAAATATTACTAAAATTGGACTCCTTGTATAAGTATATAATATCTGTGAATAAAACTGCTGATAAGTTCATGAAATCATATTCAATAATCAATATTGTTTCAATACCTCTACTCTAGTATATTGAACACTATAAAACAGCAGCAGATCTAAATATCAATGCTTTCAAGTATATCTCAAGTATATTGCCAGCTAAATAAAGCTATCCTTACCGCAATTTATATCCAAAGGCAAAGTATTGTTGATCGTTTCCGAAATCCTGAGAAGAATCAAGCGAGCACAATACAAAATAAAGTTTGACCGCCCCCCTTGTTTAAAAAACTTGCAGAATAATCATTTCCCCGTAATTGCGGACAGACACCCGGACACATTGATCGAGATCTTCCCAATATATTTGTCGCGCGAAAGACTGGGTCAAGCAAACGTGAAGAATAGGGAGCTGCCTAACGGCAGC